CAAGTGGTTGTTCTCCAGATTTCTTGGCACAACTTGGTGAACACGTCCAGGGCAGCATCTGTTAGCTGAAATATGTCAATTGGTATGCTGTCTACTCCTGGAGCCTTATTTTTTGCCATTCATCCCGATTACCGCAGTCATTATGCTGGGGAAAGTAGAGGGTCAGCAAGAGAGAGACCCTCAACAAGATGACTGGACAGGGTAACTTCAACAATAAGCTTGAGCATGGGAGAGATGGTGGGAGCAGCAGAAGATAAGGCAAGGTTTCCAACTCTTGTTCTTAGGGTTGGTAGGAGTTGCTTGAGGTCACCTGACAACAATAAATAATAAACAGTGATTAGAGATTACATGCTCCTGTGTTTAATTCAGAGTTCAACTTGGACAAACACTGCTTTTTCTGCTTTCAACTTCCTCTTCTGAAAGAAAAAGAAAATATAAAGAAAAATAAAATCAAAGATGGAGGATAGCTAAATAAGACGATTTAAGTCCTTTTCATCTTTTAAATTTTTTTAACGCCCTGTTATCTATTAGTAAATCTGGTTTCTTCCTTTGATGTCTTCCTTTCCATGCACCTTTTTTCCTAGTTATCATTCACAAATATTTTGAGTATGATTTCACTATATCCTTCAAAACAAAACATAACAAAACAAAACAATCCCTAACTTTCCTGTATAATTTTTGTATGTTTCCTTTGTGATCTTTTTCTTAAAAGAAAGCTCCTAGATTTCTATACATGTTAGACCTCAAAACCTGCCATCATTGCTGAGAATGCTCTCTTCTCAGCTTCTGCCTTTCAATTCACACCTTCTTCCATTCTTCAGGTATGAATAAACACTAATTCAGGTTAGCACTACCTCTGTCACTTTGTCACATCCCCTCACTCCCTAGGTGATTTAGTAGAAGGATAAATACAAGTAAGAATTCAACTAGGCATTAAAAAGTAAGAGCGGAGAAAATGAGTCACAAAGAACATAAGCCCACCCAACATTAAACATTTGACAGCGCTTCCCCAGTTGTTGAGTATCAAGCTGAGTGCCACACTTCCTGGAAGGCAGAGGAAGGCAAGGGGATGCTGTCCATTGCATCGTTCTTGCTGTTAGAATGCAGGAAAAGTTACCAGTAGCTCAAAGGGGGGTGGTGTGGTGGTGGTGTGTGATATCCATAAAGCCAAACTCTGAGGAATGTTTCTTGGAACATTTGTTTTTGTTGTTGTTGTTAAGCAAACACAGAGTCAGAGCTGACCCTCCAGTGGATTTTCAGAAGCAGTAAGTCACACAGAAGGAAATTGTCTGTCTTTCTCCTGTGGAGCCACTCACGGATTTGAACCTCATGCCATTGGGACTGTAGCTCCGCTTCCTAGCACCAGAGACACAGGAAGGAATGTCCCATTATATTCAAAAGTGCTAACTTCACTAAGATGGAAACCTTTATGGAAACAAGCAATTCCTTTTTGTCCAAATGGATACCTACCAGTTGGTAGTGATTTGATTCCAACTCACAATGACCAGGTATGTGCCAGAGGAGGACCATGTCGCACAGAGGCATCGATGGCTAGTATTTTAGAAGGAGATTATTAGATTTTTTTCTTCCAAGATGCTTCTGGGTTGGCTTGACTTTATACCCTTTAGGTTAGCAGGTGAATGCATTAACAGTACATCACCAAGGGCTACTGGTTTCTATCAGTCATTGACCCAGGAAGCTACTCACACTCTCAGAGTTCTCAGGCAAACACAGAAAAACTGGGAAAAAACAATAATAAATAAGTTGAGAAATGGATCATGGAGATCTTTACAAAAAGTAGTGTGCTCACAAGAGAGACAGTGGCTAACGCATAATCAGAAGATGCTGAAGGAAAGGAAAAACCAATTGCGTTCATTTCTAAAGATAAAAATAATACTTGTGCAATCATTGTTCCCTCACAGGGAATGTTTGAAAATTATCCACAGACACTTAGACAGTTTCCCTGAGCAAATGGGATGCTCATTCAGGTGGCTATGTGCACAGTTCCTGTGAGAAGCTGAAATGGCATCACTGATTCATGATTTACTGTCTCCAAAAAAGCTTACCTTACATAAGCTGACTCGTTACAATTCAGTCCTACATCTTCCTGCCTTATTTTCTTGAGTGTTTGAAGACTTTCTCTTGACATATATTCATCCTTTTCAGTGGATGGAATGGTCTTACTAATTGGAGAGAAACAAAAAATGAAATATTAGAGCATCAAACATGGAGGGGAAATCATATGCAAAAATTTACTGATGAACATTTTTTGGTGTTCAGGTATTAGCTTCAAAAATCTTTATTCAAATGAGAAGTTTACTTTTTTTAACTGAGCAATTCCCATTTTATAGTAGTGGCATAGGAAGCAACATTACTTACTTGGAAATACCTAAAAAAAGTCAGCGACAAAAAAAAATTGCAAGTCTGAATTTTAAGCATCCAAATGCTAGGTGCTAGAAAACATCTTTATGAAGAAAATAAAGTCTTGTAATAACCATACTGGGCAAAGTTTGTCAAGCTGGATAGAACATTTCTTCCCTGTGGTAATATTCCTAAACAGAATGGAAACATTTCTGCATCTTCCTATTCAGCTGCAGTAAGCAGTGCATCAAAGAGTCTTGCGAGTTTGCTCTCTGTTTTGTCTAGCCAAACACCCTGAGAACTTTGTTTTGCATAATGCATGTCTCTGTAGCTTCACGGAACTTTGAAAACACATGAAAAGTCTTCTCCTGCCAACCTAACGTCCATCCCCTTTGACAGATTGCAAAAGGCAGGCGATGCTTTGCAATGGGGCAGGGTTTTCAGTCATAGGGAGGCTTGGAACTTCTGCAGTTGATACTAAAATTATGATGCTGCAGTCACACCTCATTCAACAGAGGATTTGCAAAGGGGAAAAAACCCAGATTCAGTACCAAGGCATGGTCACGATGCAGCAGAGTGTCTACTGAGGTGTGAGTACAGAAACTCAGAAATCTTTTTCAGAAATTTTATTCAGCTTGATTTACAGTGTTTACCATTGAGTGAAAACATAAATGGAAAAATGCAAGTTTCCAATTTGGACGGAGCAGTGGTCGGTAGTGAAGCAAAAGCACTATACCATCTGTACATTGAGAAATAAGAGATGTTGAATGTGTCTAATAACTGAAAATAAGTTTGTGTTCCTTCCAGAGTTTTAAAAAATCATAGTAAGCTTTAAATCTCCCTTCTTTCTTTCCTACTAATAGATAGAAAAGCATCTCTTGTTTTTAAAGAATATAAAACTAGAAATTGCTGAGAAAATTACAAAGATTGGTAAAAATAAGTAGAGGACAGTTATTCAAGACAAACACAAAAATAGAAGCTCAATGATTCTTTCAGTTCCCTCCTGTTAGTACACTTCAGCAATTAGGAGAACAAGGAGAACAAGCATGCTTATTAACAGCTATCAATTATTGAAAAGTGTAGCTTGTGTCAGACATGTTTATAGATCGTCTCATTCAGTCATCACAGTGACTCTATGTGCTAGATATTGTCAGTTCCTGTTCAGATGAGGAAATGTGTAGAGAAATCCAGGAACCTGCTGGAAATTACCCTGCTAGTTAGTAGCAAAGCAGGAATCTAGTTCCATTCTGCCTGGGTTTCTTCCTGGTTCTCACTCATACCACCGCCCAAAGTCAATCTCTGACTTTCAAATAGTAAACTATATGGTAGTGTTGCTTGATGAACCAGTTATAATAATAACAGTAATCCTAGGCCCCATGGATTTAATACCTTTTGTATGTGAAACAATGCTCTAAGTGTTTTTATGTGTATCACTTTCTATAATCATCACAACAATCCAAAAATACAAGAAACTGAACCAATGAGAGATTAAACCACTTGCCCCAAGGTCATATAATCAGGGAATATAATGCATGGCTCAACTGTAGACCCAAACAGCATGCTCTCAAAAACCCTTGGACACTGCCATGTCCAGCCTTACTAAGCGTTTTAATCTGAATACAGACTATGTTTATATCCACTTTTATAGAAGGTTCAGTCAAATTCTGAAATGTTTACACCAATGTATTTCAATTTGCAAGTTAAGGTGCAAGTTGAAAAATTGACAAAGTCCATGGTCAGTATGAACAGCCTAATGTATTCTGGAATAATTCCATTCAAGTTGCTTTCAATTAAAGGGTTTTCTTCATATATTTGACAAGTAAAAGAGGAATAAAAATGATATTTATGTGAAATTAATCAAGTAAAGTACCAAAATTATTTTCAACCGCTAATGCATGCATCTCACAACCCATTAAAGTATCTGTTGTTTATGTGGATACATTTGCACCAGACTATGCAATATATATTTTGTGTCCTCTACTCAGAGCACAAGTCTAGCTAAATATCTATTTTGAACTACATGTAAATTGTTCATTAGCTTATAGACAAGCACAAAATTCTTGCTATCAGGCTGTTGTAAGCATTAGATTCTGAAGAACCCAAAAGTTCTAGAATTAAAATGACAAAAAGTGTTTCAGTGTTCATTTCATAACGGTCTGAATGTTATCCAGTATTAAACCACCATGATTTTTACATTAGTTTAAATATATCTTATGTGTTTAAAAGCTAACAACTTTTTCTTTATTGTTTTCTTTCTCCCCAGGTATCCCCAGTATTTCCAGTATTGGTAGTAAGTAAAAAAATAACCAAACCAAGTCTAGACTAGCTTTGCTTTCCTGTTCAGCTCCTCAGATCTATTTTCTCAGTGTCCATTTCTGATGTTGTGGATTGAAATTGTGTCAATGTCTGCACAGATATGAATATGCAGATAAAATAGTTGTACCTAAGTCCTCTGCAGTCTTAACAGAGCCTCAGTTTTCCTGATATTTGATCAACTGAAGGCACCTTTAGAGAGGTGCAGTTACTTATTTTTTAACAACAACAACAAAAAGAAACAAAGTCATATTTATCCATGCATAGTAATCAACAGGCAAATTGGATTCTCTTTATAGGACAGAATATGGATTTCTAACATAAATTAGAAAAGCAGAGAATGGATGCCTTGGGCCTATTCGTTAGAACCCAAGAGGAACACCATGAAATTTGTAGAAAGTATATTGTTAGCGCATTGCACTCTAGGCGTTGTGAAGGCCTGAATGATGCACATTGGTGATCATTACTCTTTCTGGATGAACGGAACATAAATAGGTACTTCCATTCCTTCCTCCGAAAATGTAGAGATCAATATCTTTTTGACATCTTAGGTTGCAATTTGATAGAAAAGTGTATAAAAATGCAGGCAGAACTTATTAGAGTAATAGAAATTATTGTGAGATAACTTTTGGTAGAAAGAGAAGTAACCCAAAGGAAAACCACTTTTCAACCATCACCTTCACCTATTCTGCTCTCTGACTCCAAAGAATAGTCTTCCAGCTGCACCCAGAGAATCAGACTGTAGCTTCCTCCTCAACTAGAAGAGCTTGGCATCCTGGCACTGGGCCTGAAATACCCATTCAGAAAATGCCTAATAGCTTTGCATGGCAGAGAGTCCATGTTTTTGTATGTTGCACTCTTTAGTTCCCATTGCTAAAACCTTTGCACAACTACTGAATAACTGATTAGAAATAAAGTACTAGCGGAGTCAAAATAATGTGCTAGAGACTATAAAAGAAGAATTTTTGCCATAGTCACACTCAACAGGGGCCATCATCACAGAAGCTGTGCCATGCAGGGTGATTGCAGTGTGAAAAAGCAACAGAGACCCACAATATACAACGTCCTTCTAAAAAGCAATACTCTGATAATTCGGATAAAAGAGCTTCTTGCTTCCTGTGAATGCTCAATCTAGTCTTCCAATTTATAAATCAACCCATTTTACTTAAACTTGTAAATGGGCTTAGACAGTGATATGCTAAGCTCTAGATGTGTTGTGAAAATTGGCCAGATGTAAATAGAACTTGAGTTTCCCACTCATTCAGATACTAGCCTAATGCTAGAGCAGCCTCTCTGTGATCTTGTTGCAATGACATCAGTAGCTACAAATTTGCAAATGAAAACCTCCAGGTTTAATAGGATCATTTATCTGCTTTAGTATCTCCCTCGACATTTGCCCATCAGTATATATACCCCACATTGTGCTCCTTTCAGGCCTTGACAATTGCCTTTGCACATGCAGTTCAGAGCAACAGGAAACCAAACCACAACAAGCTGAGAGAAATGATTGGGGCTGCCCAGGGATCCAGGCGCCAACACGTCTCAGAAATGGATAGATGGGAAAGTAGTTCTCTGGTGTCGGGGTGTGTTTCTGTTCCGAGTGTCAGTTGTGTGTTGCATGGACGCTCTGACTGTAAGGTTCACTCCACATCTCATCGGCCGTCTCCACCACATCCCCCATCCCTGAGCATCAGCAGATGTTGACCTTTTTACACACTTAATCGGGAAATTCCAGTTTTGTTTCGTTCTGTTTTATTTTGAAATCACTGGTGACCTGAAAGGATGCTTTGTTGTGCCCTCAGAAAATGTTTTCACCATTTTTATGAGGAATCTAGAGAAATTTAGCTCCTAGTAACAAACAGACACCATGAACATAAAAGCGACAGTTTATATTCAACCTTGTCCAGGCCTCTCATTGTGCTACGTGGAAGGTGTTTCCCCAGAGTCCAGGCAAACAGGGTATCAGACCTTCCAGGGTTCGCCCAGAATCACAGGGGACTAGCTTGCCTATTGACTAGCTTTAAGGTAAAGAGGTTTACAATAAGACCATCAAAGGTGATTGCTATCTTCTAGGCTGCTTTAATGGCATTAGCACATTCTTTCTTTGAGGGTGCAGAAGGTACTTGTCATATGCACTGGCAGATTCCTGTCCTTTCAAAAAGCAAGAAAGAACTCACTAGCAGATGGCCTTTTCTAGAGAGCTTAGGAGTGAGGTTTCCAAAGTGCGAGGCAGAGAAGAGGGAGCCGCGTGGATTTTAACTAAGTTGGCATGTTTGCCTGGGCTTTTCCCTTTACCCACTCCAAAGAAGGAATCAATGAACTAATTCTACAAGAGCACAAGCAAGATGTGATTATAAACAGATGTTACACCCATGAGACTATGATCATCAAAGCATATCTCAAGGAAAATAAATGCTGTACATTACTGGTGCAAATAATTGACACATGAAACCATAAATTCACATACATATCCTGTATGCAGAAATGACTGTAGGTTTTGGATCCCTAGGAGATTTCAGTATAGATCTCAAATTATCAACACCTGCATTAAGGCTCACGTCATGGACAGACTGGTCATCCTTTCCGATCATCTGCTAAAAATATTTTGGAAACAAATTTCCCATTAAGACCATTTGTACCTGCTGTTGTCTATCTTTTAGGAAATAGGTCTCCAAGACATCCAGAAGGTACTTCATTTAAAACTTAGTTATTTTGATGTGCTTTGCCAATGGCTGGGGGGAAAAAAATACTGGTGATGCTGTCAGCAATTAATGAATCCCAAAATAGATTGGTGGTCACTTGAGTCTTACAAACTGTGTATCTACTTCACCTCAGGTGACAGTAATTCATTCAGTGTTCAGTTTTGGGATAAAATAGATCATACATTTTAAGTTAATAGGCATTATTTTATCTAAGTGAACATTCGTTGATTCTGATGCCCCAAATTGATAGTTGGTTCAGTGTAGGTGGTTTTGTTAAGGTGATAAACGAATCATTATATTTCAGCATAAATTATCTTATCCTTAGTCTTGAAAAGCAAGTTCTTCACAAACTATGTTCAGCAGTATATGATAAAGAATGTAATTTAAAAGCAAAGATTGACCTGATGTGCAAATGGCTTTGTGAGGGTGAGTGTCTCCTCTTAGCAAAGCAGGTAACAGGTGAGGGAGGCAGACCAGCCACTGAAACAGAAGATTACATCTCAAGATCTAGCCAAAGCTTTGAAATGTAAATAAACAGGAGTATTCCATAGGACAGTAACAAAAGGAAAGTGCAATTTGAGCATTATATGGATTTAGGTATGTATTATTTTCTAATTTTCAAAGGTCAGCACAATAGTATGTCAAATACAGAATTATTAATGAAGGTATTAGATTGCCCCCTCCCCAAGCCCCTGAACTTAATTTGAAACAATAGTTTACTTGAGGGAAATGTTTCAGTTCCCTGGGTTCTCTTATAATGAACGTTGCCTTCATCACAGAGTTAAAAATTCATCTCTAATTTGATTTAATTGGCAGGACTATTAAACAAGGGATGTGCTACCTGCAGGGATCCATCAGCCTGTTGAGAAAGCCCAGAAATGTTTTCATACTTGAAAACATTTGATGCCAGTTGGAGACCTTGTAAAAGTTGTTTTCTATGCAGCATCCAAATATTTTTATTCAGTATCAATTTACTGGAGAAACCTGGATTGTGAGGGAAATCACAAGGTTAATCACTTTCCCACCCAAGGGTTATTAGTAATCATATTCATGCTATCCGGGGAGCTGCCGTGTTTGTTTGTTTCTTTCCCTTTGCTTTAATACTTCTAAATCCTCCAAATATAAGTCTCATTTAAATTGCCCTTTATCTAATTAGGTTTTATATAATAAGGGGCAAAAATCATCAGGCTAGTGTAGCGATATGGCAAATTGCATGGTGTGTGATATTAATTTCGAACTGTTTGCTAATGTTCTAGAAGCAGAGTGAAGGTCCCCGGTGAAATATCTTCGGGAGTCTGTTATTTCGTATACCCAGTACCCTCATCATAGATTCATTTCATATTTGTGTAACTAGCATTTCACATTCATGAAACCTTGGTTATCCTAAAGTTGAATGAACATTAGGACAGCTGCCTCTTTAATCCTGAAAAGCAAATCAAATATTTTAATGGGAGAGGGAATAAGAACCTCCTAGTTTGTAAGATTTGGTTTTAAAAAATGCGAGAGGTTTAGCAAATGTTGTTGACAATTTTTCACCTTGAGTGAATTGACTTTGTCATGAATTAACCTAAATGTCTCAGATGACTTTAGAATGTCAAGCCACTTTTTTTTTTCTTTTTAAGTGTGAGCTGATTATCTCTGCCTTTCTTAGTAATCTCTTCATGGGGGCATCTAGATAAACCTGGCTTAAACAAAAAGATGTGCCAAGATCTCTAAAAGGTCTTACGAGGGAGCTTCAAACATGTAAGTGAACTCTTGTGCTAAATAAAGTAGCCACTTCCAGGGAATAGGTACCGTGAGACTCTTCTTAGAAGACCAGAACTAAAAAAAAAGAAGAAGACCAGAGCTGTCAATGGAGCTCAGTCCAGCTCACCCCTCTACTTCCTGGGAAGAGTGTGGCAGAACTTTTCACTTGGAATTTAGGAAGGTGTGACCCAAGGTCAACAGAATTCCATTTTACAAATGGCAAGTCCGAGGTTTGGTGTGACTGATAATCTTGCCCCAAATATGAATACCTGTAAGGCCTAAATGCACTCCAAAGGCCACATTCATAGTGTTACAGCATAAAGAAGTGATTAGAGGGAGGAAAAAAAAAATCTAAATTGAATAATTCCTTTCCAAGGCTCTTTCTAGTGTAGGATGCTACATTTCAAAAGATCTCTTGGTCGCTGATATGCTTTCTGTCTATACAGGAAATTGTAGTGTCCTAGAGGAAAAGTTCATTTTTTGATTTCTTATTATATTGTCAGCTAGAGAATTTACAAGCCTGGTTTCT